TTTTTCAACTGGTGCTTTGTTTGTAATTTAGTCAGTTTGGATATAGCCAGGAGCAAAGCGGGTGTCTGACTCAGGATTTCAGGATAAAGAATCATTGGGAGTGAAACACACCAACATATCAATGTATATCAAGTTACTGGTACAAGATCAGTATATACAGAGGCTGAGAACATCAATTAATACTTATTTAGAAAAGATGAAGAAACAGTGTTTGACATATTTCCTGCCTTGGTCAGATGTGGCAAGGGATCAGGTCTGGGTCAGTAACTGAAAATAGGGAAATATGATAAAATTGATAAGAAAGGAAGAAATTTAAAGTAGTTAAAAGCTCTGAAACTGAAGAGCAAATAACACTTAAAAATTATTCTGATTCTTATGATTTCAGTAACTAAGAGATAGTAGGTATTATGATATTCAATTAGCATATTTTTATAGGGTAATATTTTTGTTGTTTTATTCACTGACTGCAAAACGACAGCTCCACAGAGAGGGCTTTTATGAGAAATGTATTTAAAATAAGCCTCTCTTTCCTCTGTCACCTTGTCTTTTACTCTGCTTTATTTCTCCCCATAGCAGTATCACTACTTTACATTAAGTTACTTATCCATAAATAAATATGTAAAATATTAATAGATAAGTACATATTTATAAATAAATATATAACGTATAGAATGTAAACTATATTAAGGAAAAATATTTCTTATTTGCTCTAAAATAATGTATAGCACATAGTAAATATGTACTCAATTTGATGACTAAAAGAATGAATGAATAAATAAATGAATGTTTCTGAACCCAAAAGGATACATATTTATTTTTGTTTCCAAGGTTAAACAGGCAAAATCCACCTAGGAAATAAAATGCATCTCATTTATATCTAGAGACAAAATTTATGATTGAATGAAGATGGGATGAAATTCTGTATGAGAGAAGAAAGCTGTCTTTGAAGATTTAGGATGTAAACTACTACTCAGAGTTTCAGAGAAAAGATTAGGATACTGAATTACTTTTCCTCAAGTAATTCTCTGCTAATAAAGTATATTTATGAGGATGGGGGAAACTCCTGCTGCTCCAGAGCAAATTAAAGTTAGTGAAATTTTGAGCTTCATGGTGAGAGTCTTTGGTCTCTTCCATTTCCTCAAAGTTTACATGTCAGGACATGGTATATCTGACTATATAGATAGTCTCTTTGCCAAAACTATATAAAATATTTCTTAAATTCTATCTTGATAGTGTTTTTATTTTACCCCATTTTTACCCAGACACTATCCATCAAAACATAATGTTTTTCTGTTAAGAGAGGAACGAAACATCAACTTGGCTTCTGATTTCATTATTTGAATAGCATAGAATTTCAATTTTTCCTTTTGTTTAGTATTTATCTGTTATCATTTCTCACTCTAATAAATAACAATGTGGCAAACATGCAAGTGCATAGATCGTCTCTGTCTCAAGTCCAAACAGTCAGATTACTGGTAAATATAGGTTTTAAGACCTCGAAGAAGCATTAGATAGATTCATTTTTGT